ATAGGCAGCAGGCAGACCATCTAGTTCCTGGGCCAACAGTCCAGCAGCCTGGTCACCTGACCTTTCACCTCCACAGCTCCAGGTGTCCTGCTTCTTTGGCCATCTGGCAGCGGGAGGACTGGAGGATGTCCGCCCCAAGACAAGGACACTCTGTGCTACCCGTGCCATGCCTACCGGTGCCAGCACCGGGAAGTGGGCTAGCTTTGTTGTCCGGGACCTGCCTAGTCCCTGCCTATCAAGGCACACTGGTCCAGACCTCCAGCCAACTGGTGTCCCTTAGATGCCAGCAGACACTTGGGAAGCACCTGCACCATGGGAAGAGGTGCAGATGTATTAAGGTGACCTCTCAATTTTTCCTACTAACTGGTCACCTTTATGCTAAAGAAGACATTTCAGTGCGACCCCTTCCATGGCAGGAGGCTATGAGGAGAGTCACTACCACCATCTCAGTGGGTCAGAGAGATAGCCAGGACTTGCCAAAGCTGGATTAGAGATGGAGGAACCAGGGACCTCCAGAAAATGGGGACCCCCATAGCTACAGGTACTAAATCTGAATGGAGACCCTCCACCTATGACACTAGTCTGTCACCCACTTCCTACCTGCTCAACTGAGGACTGCAGCCTTCAGTACAGATTATAACTCAATGTACAGAAAACCACACATCATGATAAATGAAGAAAAGGTTGAAGTTGTCAAGGATTTTGTCTTGCTTGCATCCACAATCAGCTCATGGAAGGCAGCAGTCAAGAGATCAAAAGACATGTTGCATTAGGTATATCTGTTGCAGTAAACCTCTTTAGAATATTGAAAAGCAAGAACATATCTTGGAGGCCTGACCCAAACCATGGTATATATTTTTCTTTTTTCTGTTCAGAGCGAGAGAATTTTTATAATTTAACTGCAAATATATATAGTAGCAAGGCAGGCAAGCCCCAGCAGGCACATACACAATAGCATGGGCAGTGTCTTAACCTTGAATGTCCCCCGAGTCCACCAGGTAACACCCTATGATAAATATCAAACGCCATCACATAGAGTGCACTGCGCCTTCCCTGGGAGGGTCAGGCTCCTTGAGCGGGAGGACCAAAGAACCTGGTTGCTTTTCAAAGATAGGTACTCTTCAGCCTCTTAGTGAGCTACCATGTGCTCATAGGAAACATCTTTGTAGTAACCTTTTCATGGACGGCTATTGTGGGGCCATCTTTCCATCTGGAGAATGTGTATTTGACGCTCTCTCTATCTCAGAATTGTGGAGTTCTTTTTCTAATACTAGGGCCAGCCTTTCTAGCCCTGTGGTTATGAGGGTAGACATCAGGCTGCATACACTCCCTTCCAGGTCCTTGGTTGTCCACAATCCCCTTTTATGTTTTAAGTTCAGAAGGGCTATGGATATGACATGTCTGCTCTCTGTACACCAGATCCTTCTATAGAAGCAGTAGATATAAAAAAGTCTAATGTTCCAGTCACATTTCAGCATCAATTGATGCTGTAACTGCAACCATGGTAGAAATTGTTATGCGTCTCAGAAAGGCAACAATTGATACACTCATGAATCAGCAAGGTCTTTGATGTTTCTGATAATCTCTGCAACTGAAAAGAGGTCTCTGAATTGTCCTCCCATCCCCCATGCCAAGGCATCAGTTGTTCTTTTCGTCCCAGAAAACACTCACGGAAGAAAAACCATTTGCATTCTCTTTCACTTCTGTCTCTGGGTGTCGGTGAAACACCATCAAGACCATCCAGTGGTTCACAGGAGTACTTGTCTGTTTGCTCCGCTTCTGAGGGGTCTGGTTGAGACGACTTCCATGGTTTTACCTGTGAATGGTAGATCCAAGCACGTTGCCCTGGAACCGAGGCTCCGACCAGTCACAGGGATCTCTTGCTGCTGGGCCGCCCAGGCCTGGCCGTTTCAACCCTCAGTTAGCAGCTGCTCACTCGCCTGGGGGCAGCTCCCCTCCTGGGTATCTCTCATAGGACAGAGCTCTGCCCAATGGCCAGTTTGTTTGCAGTGGTAGCATGCCCTCATGGAGGCCTATCCTTGTTAGGGCAATCCCTAACAAGGCGATGGCAGCCATGACACCTGGTGCCTTGTTCAGGGGTCTTGGAAACCTGCGAGGCAGTTAATGGGCATTGGTTAGCAACCAGTACCTGTGCACACTTAACGTTCTTCTCCTGAGCCTAGGCTTCCCTCTCGTCATCCCTAGAAGGTACTGAGGCCAGGTGGTGTTCCAGATCTATGCCAATTAGACAGGATACAATGGGGACAGATCCTTCATTGCCCATGTTACACATGGCCCCAGGGTGAAGTATATCTCACATGGCCCCAAAGGGCATGATCCCGGGGGACAGCAGCAGCCGTGTCTGGGTGCAAAAGGTCCCATCTCCCCTCCTACAGAGGCCGGCATCTTTTCCAGACTGCACGCCAACACTTAGAAAGTTCGAACCAGAAAGTTTGACCGAGCCACCAGTTTCTCAGTCTCTCAAGGATGGTGAGGTGGAAATCCGGAAGCACCTCAGTGAGGCAAGAAGGGGGTGGGGGAGGGGTGCTCCAGGGAAGTATCCCAACCGGGCTTACCTTAAGGTGTATCCAAGTCACACAGGACCACAATGTGAGGTTTCTCGAGTGGGTAATACCTTGGTACTTGGCTTCACACGATGAAAGAATTCACGCCGAAGCTGTTTTGTAACCAAGTGGGTTTTTATGAAGGACAGGATAAGTTTCAGGTTTTATAGTCTCAATTGGGTTCACAACTGGGCCCAAACAACCACATGGAAAAGAGCACCCACATGTGCAGATCTTGGGGGAGATCCTGGGAGGCCAGAAGCCCGGGAACCCTAGAGGCTGAGAGCATGTGGGCCAAGAGACCAAGACCCTCCCCAGACACCTGCCTCCGAACAGGAGCAGGGTAAGACAGCCATGGTACTCTCAGCTGCCTTGTGTGCATGTGAAAGCTAGACACGGACTGTGGAGGACCGAAAGAGACTCGTGCATCTCACTGCGGTGCTGGACAGAGTGCTCCTCAGAGGCAAGGATGGCAGGGTTTCACCCCACAGACTGTGGGCATGTTTTCAGGAGAGAGCAGTCCCTGGAGAAGGACACCATGCTTAGTAAGGTGGAGGGACAGTGAAAGAGAGGGTTAACACAGTGGCTGCAGCTATAGGCTCAGGCACAGGAACAAGTGTGAGGACGGCACAGAGTTGGGGGATTGTTTCTCCCTGTTGTGCATAGGATCGCCATGAGTTGGAAATGACCTCATGGCCCCTAACAACAACTGATAATGAAGGCATGTTGTGGAAGCTGCCTATGTGCGATGGCGTGTTCTGATAGTGACGGGAACCCCAAGTCCTTAGTCCTGCGAGGATGTGGTTGTCAGGCAGTGGGCCGCAGCAATCTCTCTCACCTGCAGGCAAGGATGCATGTTTCTGTTTGTGCTCAGTCAGCCACACTCAGGTCTCAGGGCCCTCTATTGTAACCTCTTCCGTAATGACTGGGATGCGTACCCAGGTGTCCCCTGGACAAGTGTATCGTTTGTCTACCTGCTTGTATATGCCAGGGATGTTCCAGAAACCAGCAGAGATGGTGCTGAGACTGTGTGCCCTTTGTGCTGCATCTGCGTCCTCTCGCTGAAACACCTGCTGCCATCAAATCACTTCTGACTGAGCAACCCTGTAGGACATGGCAGGCCTGCCCCTATGAGTTTCCGAGGCTGTCAGTCTCATCTGTGCCCCTTGGAGAGCCTGGTAGGTTTCGAACTACTGACTCATAACCCACTGTGCCGCGAGGGTTCTCAGGGCCTTTTACCCCTGCAGGGTTCCCCAACATTTGCAGTGTAGATTGTGCACACTGCCCATCATAGGGGCACATCACAACCTTCTATTTAGTGGGTCTCCGCTCCCCCTTTCCACAAACACACACTTGCGGCCTCCCAGAGCCCCTGGAAGGCTGTAGCTTGAGGGGTTATTGCTGAACTTCGGGGAGAGCTCCGTCTCTCTATTTGTGCCTCCATGTCTTTCGTGGGTACTTGTTTGGTCTGGGGACTTTATTGGGTCCTTGTTTACCCCCCAGCTGTGACTTGCCTGCTCACTTCACCCTGCAGAGCTTCTTGATTTTGAGGAAGTCCACTTTGTCGGTACTTTTTCCTCCGCTTAGTGCTTTGGGGCCCAAGAGATGTATGTGTGGGCCCCAAGACTGCAAGGATGGCCTGTGCTGCTTGTACAAAGAGTCAGCGTTTCAGTGTTTCCGTTTCCATCTCTGTGTCTCCTTAGCGTTTACTGTTGGATCTCATTGGAATCACTGGGGCTGGGTTTTTCCCTCTGGGCTAGGAATTGGCCCAGGAGGAGCGGCTGTGGTTCCCCACTGCTGAGCGGGTCCTGCAGGAACCTATCTGTTGAGTCTTGTGACTCTTAATGACCCCTTGTGGCTGCTCTGCTGTGTGTCTTCTCATTCACATCTCCCAGTCTGGTCTGCAGAGCAGCCGTTCTCCTGGGCAAAGTGCTGGGCTTGAACAGGGGCTTTGGGGAGACCTTTTTAGGACCCGTCTACACAGCGGGTACTCTGTGCACCCAGGAGTAGTTGTACTGTGTGAAGGAACTAACAGGTATCAAGTGCTTGGAGCCGGGCCAGCTCATAGCTTGGAGCGGGGCTGGACATGCTGGGTCACACTAGACCCGAAGCTGGCGGCACCCTCAGCACCAAGCTTCCCAGAAGGCGTTTCTGCTGGGCCGTATTTGGGGCCCAGCCTTCAGTGGCACTTTCCTCATTGTTAGGGAGACTGAGCCTCCATCTGTTGGTGTTGAAATGTTTTGATCCTGTTTTAAAAACTGTTTCGGGACAAATTAATGAGAGTGAAGCAACTAGAACAGAAATAAGGAAACTGTTGACACCGTGTGAAGAGATGTGTCTAACATCACTGATCGTGATGTCTGGAACTGAGGGGCTGGGGTATGGTCTGCTGTGTTCTCAGCAAAAATACAGTATGTGTTAACATGAAAAGCGACCATGTTAGCCATCTCAGAGTACCCGTTAGTGGGGTTGAGTCCATCCACAGGCCTGTGCAGTGTTTTAGAAAATTCTGCCACCTACGGAGAAATGCTGTTCCCACTCCATGTCTGCATCTGGGCCATCACCATATCTGCCTACTTGGGGCTCAGCGCATTGCCCTGCTCGCTCCCCAGCTCTGCGTCTGCCCTTGTTTTACTGCCCAGAGAGGGCCTGTCTGGAAGCTGGGAAGGGGTGGGGGGTGGGGTGGGGGGCACTGGGAGCTGTGTTGGCTTTGGGCACTTGCCAAGAACAGTGCTGATGGCAGCTCTTGTCTTGCAGATCCGGAACATGGTGGCGGTGTTGGAAGTCATCTCCAGTCTGGAGAAATATCCCATCACCAAAGAGGCGCTGGAGGTGAGTGCATACCAAGTCCCCAGCATCCCCAAGCCTGTCCCTGTGAATGAGAGTGTGCCTTAATGGTTCCTCTGAGGACTGAGTGAGGTGCTGCCCCACATGACAGCTCTCAGACAGACCTACCCCTCAAGGCCCTGCAGGGACTGTGGGGGGCTGCACCCCTAAAGTTGGACCTCTCTAGGTGGGAGCCCCTGGCATCGGTCTTGGGATGGAGCTGTTATGGGGCCCCCTGGCTGGGGTAGCCTCTCCTGGGCGGGCCAGGCGCTCACCACCCACTCTGTTGCAGGAGACACGGCTGGGGAAGCTCATCAACGACGTCCGAAAGAAGACCAAGAACGAGGAGCTGGCCAAGAGGGCCAAGAAGCTGCTGCGGAGCTGGCAGAAACTCATCGAGCCCGTGCACCAGGGTGAGGCGGCTCTGCGTGGGCTGTCTGGTGCCCCAGGATCTGCCAACGGGGGTGCTCACAACTGCCGCCCTGAGGTGGGAGTGGCCGCGGGGCCCCGGAGCATCCATGACCTGAAGAGCCGCAATGACATCCAAAGGCTGCCCGGGCAGCGGCTGGACAGGCCAGGCAGCCGCAAGCGCCGTGGGGACCAGCGGGACCTGGGCCACCCTGGGCCACCACCTAAGGCCACCAAGGCTAGTCATGAGCCCCTGGCCCCCAACTCATCCCCCCTGCCCACCAATGGGATCAGCGGGAGCCCAGAGAGCTTCACTGGTCCACTGGATGGCAGTGGGCACACGGGCCCTGAGGGCGGCCACCTGGATCCTGGCGAGAACGACAAGCACAGCAACTGGATCCCCATTCACCCTGTAAGGCCCAACACCAGTTCTCCGGGCCCGGGCCTGGGGGTCAAGGCCGCTGCGCTGCAGCCACTGGACAGGGTGGACGAGACCCCAGGGCCACCCCACCCCCGGGCACCCTCCCGCTGCTCCTTCAGCCCTCGGAACTCACGGCAAGAGGGCCCCGTGGCCCGGCAGCGGGGCATGCATGTGCCCAAGGGCTCTGCGCCCAGCTCCTCACCGCGGCTTCTATCACTGGAGGCCACGCAGGCGCCCACGCCGCTCCCATTGGCACAGCCTCTCACGCCCCCCGTCCGGCGGCTGGAGCTACTGTCCAATGCAGAAAGCCCAGGATGCTGGCCTGACCAGCCAGAGGGCCACCAGAGGCTGGCAGGGCCGGGCTGCAAGGCAGGGCTGCCACCAGCTGAGCCACCACTACTCTTGCGAGCAGGCCTGTCCCCAGACTCCTCTAGGGTGGACAGTGATGCCGCCTCCTCTGGTGGCTCGGAGAGCAGGAAGAAAAAGCGATACAGACCACGAGACTACACAGTGAACTTGGATGGGCAGGGGCCTGAGGCAGGCGTCAAGCCTGTGAGGTTAAAAGAGCGCAAGCTCACCTTTGACCCCATGACGAGACAGATAAAACCTCTGACCCAGAAGGAGCCCGTGCAGGCAGAGAGCCCTACGCGCCCCGAGCCCCCTCGGACTGAACCGGACGCACAGGAGCCCAAAGGCGGCCTTCAGAGCCCTTTTGAGCAGACAAACTGGCAGGAGCTGTCGCGCAATGAGATGATCCAGTCCTACCTGAGCCGACAGAGCAGCCTGCTGTCGTCCTCGGGCGCCCAGACGCCAGGCGCCCACCACTTCATGTCCGAGTATCTGCGACAGGAGGAGAGCGCCAAGCGACACGTCGCCCGAGACACACACGTGCTGGCACCACACAGCCCGCCTGCGGACCTGCCGGGGTGCACGCGGGAGGTCACGCCGGCCGACCTGGAGCGCATCCAGGCCCACCAGTGGCCGGGCGTGAACGGGTGTTTTGACACACAGGGTACCTGGTATGATTGGACGCAGTGCATAGCCCTCGACCCACATGGTGACGACGGGCACCTGAACATTCTGCCTTATGTCTGCTTGGACTGACTGCCGGGTGGGCGGAGGGTGGGTGTGGAGGCCTGGGGAAGGCACCTGGGGTGGGCGGTGCCCTGGCATACTGTCCCCCAACTCTCCTTCTTTTGTGAAATGCTGCTACCAGTTTACTAACAACCTTGCATAGGAAGGACTGCGGGAAGGACGGCAAAGCGAGTTCCAGAGGTCAGCTGGAGGCATGAGGGTCCCGCCGGTGACGGTGCAGACAACCCGACCACAAGGGCAGGGCACCGCTGCAGGCAGGCACAGAACACTTGTGGGAGATGTTACCTTTGTCAGAACCAAGAGCACGCGTCTTATTTATTTGCATTGTTTGTGTTGTTGTTTGGCCCTAAGGCTGCTGGGACATGGGAAGGGAGCATGGTTGTTGTCCACTGCCGCTTGCTCCCACCCAGTCGTGGCTGAGCCTTGTTCCCAGCCCCCTGGGGCCTGGTGGCACGAGGCGGCCACCAGTTAGAGCCCATGTTCCCCAGGTAGCCACACGTTAATATCTGGTTTCAGTTACAATCCTGTTTCTAAGGAAATGCTGCAGAAATTTCGTTTTTCAAGAGTTAATTTTCTCCCCGTTCCATCTGAGCACCAGCCAGACAACTTTCCTTCATTCCCCCTCATCTAAACCACCCCCTTTCCAGTATCTCTAGAAAATCCTCTTTCTAGAGTGCTCCACCCTAAAACCCCACAGTGGCACATGGGTGCTGCTGAGCTGTGCGCTGTGCTGGGCCGAGGTGGCCTGTCTGGGCTGGAAACACTCGCGAGCATTCCTGTAGAGTTGTTTGCCTTATGGTTATCTGTCAGAAATGCGAACTGCAAAAACAAGGAGCCTTAGTGAATGTACAGTACCTAGACTTCTGGGTCCCCAGGACACAGAAGAGGCAACTTTGCTATTTGGTCCAGTAAGTGGACACCTTGTGATATAAATGTGGAAATAAAAAAAAACATTTGCACAAACCAGCCTGGAAGTGGTTTCTGATTAGGTGCTTGGCAGCCTAGGCTGACCAACACACGCAGTCTTTGTCTGAATGTGAGTGAGCTGGAAGGCCTACAGTTAGACCCCACCCCCACCAGCCAGCCAAAGGGGAGGCACACCAGGTACTGGCGGAAGTTGGCCATCTGCTTTCAGATGTCACACGTTTGCCCTCTCCTCTCTGGGTTGCCTCTTAGATTTGGGTGCCCAACCTGGGGTCCCAGGGAAGCATATTACTGTCCACACTCACCTACCCTGCCCCAGATACCTGGAAGCAGGCTCAGACCTAAGGACCCTGTGACACCAAGGCAGGGGACCAGACAGTCCAGTCCCCTGTGTGGACATTGCCTTCACTGCCCTCCACCCCCAGATCAGAGACGTGGGAGGAGGAGGCTGTCTGTCCAGTAGAAAAGGCAGAATCTGAAGTGTGTGATGTGTGCCGCCCCCGCCCCATGTGTGTATGTGTGTATCCATCCAGCATGTAGTAGGTGGGGCTTAGTGTCTGACTGGTGCTCCTGTTGGTTTTTAACTGGTTGTATGTACAGTGATCACTCTTGACACCCTAAGTATACAGACTTTGGTTTTCTGGACTTTTGTCATTCTGGAGTAGGTCATCTAGTTTAATCTCACAGCTCTCCCTTAAGAGAAATGGTGTTCAACTGCACCAGCCTACAGGACCCCAGCCAGCCCGGCACCTGACTTTCAGGGTTACCAGGTTTCAGATGTCTCTGGTGCATGACTGCCAGCTACAAGCTGTGTGGCTCTGGGCTGATGCTTAAGTCGTGCAGATACGTCCCCAGTTCTGCCCTAGAGTTATAAGGGCTCTGTTAGGTTGGGTGGTCTAGAGTAATAAAACCAGTGACAGTCATATGTACAATGGAATGAGCTTTACATCAAGTAGCCAGCCCAGTCCAACTCAAGTCCATGGGTCCCATGCGAGCCAGAGGCCCTCTTCAGATTCGGGAAACTGCAGGCAGGCTGTTAAGCAGGAAGCAGAAAAACCTCAGGCCGGTGGGTACAGAGTTGGGCGAATCCAAGGTCTGGGAAAATGGCTAGGCCTACGTGGGGACCACCCTAGGCATAGACATAGCAAGTCAAAGGGTGGAGAGAGGGTCCCAATTTCCCTATTTGTGGAGGCCACGCCTCCAAGATGGTGTTATAGTGACCTAATTGATAGGTTAGACTCCACCCCTGCACCTTTCTTTCCCCACCCCTACACTTTCATCCAAGTACAAAACTCATCAAACCAAACTTATTGCCACGGAGTCATGCCAACTCATAGCCCACTCATAGTAACCCTATAGGGCAGGGTAGAACTGCCCTTGTAAGTTTCTGAGGCTGAACCTCTAACAGGAGTAGAAAGCCCCACCGTTCTGTGGAGCCACTGGTGGGGCTGGTGATTCTGAACAACTGACCTTGCGGTTAGCAGCCCAGAGCGCCTGTCATCCATGTACAAGTTGACGTAAAATCTAACCGATGATAAAAATTGAGCACACCACAGAACACGCCATGAGCCCCCATTGAACCTTAGTGGCACCACACCAAGACTTGGGCTCCTCAGCCCCTCTGCCTGTCTCACAAGAGATGAGAGTTAAGGTGCTGCCGGCGACCTGCTAAAGTAACTGCTCTTAACAGGATCGCAGGAAGATACTGGGGTGCAGAGGTTGGCACCCCATAAGCATCTTGTGCCAAGCTTCCAGCAGGTGGTTGCTCCTCCACCCCACCCGCAGGGAGCCCCGAATACCCAGTAAAACCCTGGGTAATTCCAGGCTTTGAGAATGCAAGGGGGAAACTACAATTCCCACCCTCAACTTCCTAAATTCCTTAAATAGACTCCGAATTCTGACCGCCCTCTCCCGGCCCCCAAATAGCTGGATGCACATGACTTCTGGAACAAATGAAAGTCCTTTTAGTCGAACGATATCCTCTTGCTGGTAACTTCTCGCCTTGCCCCGCTGGCCTGGTCGGGCCCCGGGGCCCGAGTCAACGCCGACACATCCCGCACGGCACAGCCTGGAGACAGACCCACGGCCGCAGAGGCTGCCAGGTGCGCCTGCTCTCTCGCGTGGACCCGCCGACATCTGCCGCACCGTTCTGTCAGAAAGACGGAAGGGCATTTTCACGACCTGCTTTCTTGCCCTCCACCCCTCCCGCCACCGAGGGTGGCTGTCCT